TTTGAAACTGAACTGAGATGCAATTATCATTACAGCATCTCCTTTGTGTTTTATTAATGATCTTTATCTTTAGTCCATCAAATAAAAAAGTAGTTAATAATACTTTTTTTCAGGATACCATGGCTTATCTGGTTCAAAGCATCAGCGTAGAGCGTCAGTGCACCCAACTGGTGGAGCAGCATGAAGCAGCTCAGGACTGGCTGAGGGAACATGTCAAAAGTCTTGGAGATCCTCCAACGGACAGACAGGGTCTACAAAGCAGCATCAATACTCTGAAGGTCAGATAACACCACACATTCGCAGCTGGCCCTGGGGTAATATTAATTACTCTTAAAGGTTTCTTGGTCAACTGGTTAGCACATACCAAAGATTTTGTTAAATGGATCTTTTGGCCTTTGAACCTTTTTGGATAACTTTTCACTACTTTGCTAGACTTTTAGTTAACTAACTAACAAAAAAGTTATTCCTGGCTAACCAGTAGCTAGATAGAATTTCTTCTTTCTTCTTAAACTAGATTTCATCATTCTTACCTAACAAATGTTTAACAATTTATTCGTTTTCCCACAGGCCAAATTTAGATATGCAGTTCAAAAATATCTTATATGCTTAAAGACATAGATTTGCTAGAGGACGACATTTTGGCATGAGATTTTCAAGACAATATCCAAGGAATTTTTTATTGTCCAGAACCACTACTGTCCAAAATTATTTAATTCTTGACTCTAATTTCATTTCTAGTTTCATTGTTAGTGTTCACAGAAGCAGGCCTACAAAAATGACCAACATTAAGTTTCATTTGACAAGAAGTACCTTTAATAAATTCAGACTATTCAGACATCTATCAGCAAATTATACTAAAGATGGCTGACGATGATTACTCACTAGGTGTGTGAAAGAATTTAAATCTCTGTTGTGTCTGGATGTCTTTGTTTCTTTTGACAGGCTCTTCTCCAGACCGTGGACAGGGAGCACAGAGAGATGAAAGAACTGGACTCTGCTCGAGACCAACTGCTGAGTCTGTGCACTCCAGGAGGTCAGGATGCCCTAAATCTGGAGGTCAGCCACCTCCACAACCTCTGTGCCACCTCAGAGCACGATGTCAGGGAGCGTTTGTCGGCCTGTGAGGCCCTGCTGGGAAAGCTGCAGGATCAGCAGGCTGAGATGAACAAGGACCTGAAGGAGAGAGCAGCGGCCCTGCAGTGGGAGCTTCGCTCTTTAGATCAGGCTCTCTGTTACAGTGAACCTCAGGACAACATTGCTCAACTTCAACAACACTGGCAAAGCCTCCAGGTTAACACTTGTCTTTATATATTTTGTTGTAATAAACCAAGACATGAGAATAGGCAAACATCTGGTCTGGAGAATGGAGGAGATGGAGCCAAACAATTGCAGCATTAAAATGGTCCACTTACCATACAGTAATACTGCCAGGATTGACATCCGATATTTTGCTAACATTTCTGTCTTTTCATGCCTAATACCAGCCCTTACATATGGTTAAAACAGCTGATCTTCTTTTGTCTGGCTTTTGAAAGCTCTTCTCAATTTGTTTTCTTCCAGAACTGCGAAAAGTTGCTGGAAGATTTGGGTGTGAAAGTAATTCACCTCCAGCAGGATGTGATGTCAACACCTGTGACTAATGATCTTCCTGCAGAAATATTATCCACGGTTGAGTCTTTATATCAACAGTATAACAGGTACAAACTGAAACAGCCACATTATTTTATAGAAATAGACACAATAGTAAAGAGAGGAAGATGCATCCTGTTTCAGGAATAAAATATATACTAGTGTATATTTATATACTTATACAATACTATATATTTTTCCTGAAACATAATGGGTAAACTGCAGTAAACATAATATTCTTTAAAAATATCTGTTATCATGTGATTGCTGAAACACAATGTTTCTAATCTACAAATATTCCACAATACTTCAACTTTAGTTTTAATTTTTGTTTTTACTTCCTGTACTTCCCTCAGCAGGTCATTCTGTTCCTTTTTGAGTACAAAAAAAGAGTTATATTTTATTTAGGCATAGAACTAAACTAACTTAACACCTAGAACTTATATCATGTTTCATGAATGATTTCTTCTATTTTGCCATTCCCCTGCACACATATTGAATTCTTGCATGTTTTAAACATCACTCTTGCGGTATATTTTTCTGTACATAACTTTGTGCAAAGACCAGTCAGATATTATTCCATTTACTGTGTCAACAGTCTTAAATCCAGGCTGAATGAACACAGAGAATCCTGCACCACAAACACTGTACGCTGTCTGAGGGACTGTCTTCAGGACCTGCAGCAATGGTGTCACAGCAAACCGTCAGAAAACATTGCTTTTGTACAGGTTTGTACAGTTTTATGTGTTTCTAATATCCCTGTATATTACTGTACACCAAGATACCATAGTGACTTCTTGCTATGACAGAATTTGAATTCTGCACACATATTTTCATTGTGTCACAAAAATACATAGAATAATTTGTTCGTCATAGTTCTGGTAACTGATACTTTTCCTTCTGGTCAAAGGAGACACTTGAAGCTGGTGATAAGTTGCAGATGGGCCTACGGGAAGCACTTTCACAAGACAAATTCCTGGCAGATTGTTTGACACCAGATTTGTTTTCAAAACTGGAAAAGGACTCTTTGGAGACACTAAAGGAATGTGACCTACACAAAATTTCTCTAAACCAGTGCTTAAAGGTACTTTCAAAGGGTGTTTCAATTTGCATTCTTGCTCTTTTTTGCCTATCATGAATTATAAAACAGTGTGTTTGTTGTAAAAGTTCTCAGTAAACTAGGTCATTGTATCCACAGCTCAAATGTAGGCAACTTTTTTCAAGTTTAACCAAAAAGGGTGCATTGAGTTATTGACGTCTGTCTATTTTTCCATTTTAAGGAATTTGAAGAACGTGATAAACAAAAGCAACAGGATATTCTCTCTGCTGATGCATTGTCATCTGTGATGGCACCACCACGAAAAAGCAAACGCTTATTTAAGAAAACCTCACGAGATCAGTTAAAAGAAACTCTTTCATTACCAGAAAAGGCTGAATCTGCAGGAGATATCTCCTTAGTCAAAGCTGAACAAACTATGACTGTACCCTTGAAAGATGAAGTGACAGACTCCAAGGAAGCAAAAAGTGTAACAGTGGAGCAAAGCATGAAAGAAGAAACAGAGAAGAAATCTCCACAGATCCAGGGCGAGTATGACAGTTTGTCTCTCCTGCCTTCCGAACAAGAATTAAAGACAGAGGTTTCTATAACATCAGGACTTGTAGCTCCCCAAATTTCACCCAGTGTATTCTATGAGAAGCTCCTGGAAAATGAGAAAGAACCAGAAGAATGTAAAGTTTCAATTACACAGGTTATTTTGAAGCCACCTGCTTTTGGGGAAGGCAATCAATCAATTCTGCCAGATGGAAAACCTAAAGCTGAGGAAGTAAATGTTATACCACCCAGGAAAAAGTCAAAGAGTCCTGACAGCACTGTTACTCCTGTGCCAGTGTCAGAGACTGGTAGAACTCCATGTGTAGACAAAGAAGCTGAGAAATCTGTAACAACTGAGTTTGTGGAAAAGGAGGTTTTACTACCCAAACGAAAAAGTCACATGGTGACAATGACAGTTGAAGCTGTTGTGGAGGAAACTCGTGTTATACCACCAAGAAAGAAGTCAAAGACTCCTGAGTCATTGTCAGCTACTGAAGAAATTAGTGAACAGTTAGAAATTGCAGAGGCTTTTAGAGTTGCACACACATTTGATAAGGCTTCATTTGCAGAAGTAACTGTGAAAGAAATTGAATCTTGTGAAGAGAACACTGAGGTTTTGCAGGAAGAAACAGACAAAAGTCCCAAAACCTCAGAAATTTCTCCTGATGTGGAGGAAAATAAGATTTTACTACCAAGAAAGAAGTCCAAAAGTCCAGATCTTTCTACCGAGCAAGTCATAGCCACCCAAGAACCACCTTCTGTGATTATTTCAACTGAGGAGTCGGTAACCCCAGATAATGTTTTCAGACCACCTGAGGGAACTGTTTTGGAGTACATTGAGATTTTACCTCCAAAGCGAAAATCGAAAAGTCCAAAACTTTCTTCAAAACAAGCTGGACATCAGGACCAGTCAATTCAAGGGGAACCTGAACGGCAGCTAACTGATGAAAGTGAATCAAAAAGTGATAAGCCTACCAGCACTTTGCACCATGTTCTTTCTTCCACTGAAAGTGTAGGATCTGAAAAAAGGGAGGAAGAACTTGATAAACCAATGTGTTCATCAACCCCACAGGCTGTCACAGATTCAACAGAAACTACTGCAAAAGTTCTGCCCAAAATGAGGAAGGCAAAGAGTCTTGATGTGTACACTGTTACAGAACAAAGGTCTGAGAGTGATAAAACTGTTGACATAGAGACCAAAGAAGAAAAAGAACCTGAAAATGATCCCAGTCGGACCAATGTTGTTGAAGAGCAAGCAGAAGCTGCTATTCAAGAAAAAAATAAAGTGTCACCTCCAAGAAGGAAGTCAAAGAAATCTAAGATTCTTCCTATACTAGCAGACACTGTAGAACATCGGGCAGTGGAGCAGCTAGAAGAGCAAGGAGCTCTGCCTACTGATGAACAAATTAAAGTGACAAGAACCATACCAACTGAAGAAAAGTCTAAAGGTTTTGAAACTTCCACAGGATTAGATGATGTGACTGAGGTGAAGTCCTTAAACCTTGATCTGGAAAGAGGCAAAACCTT